GCTCAAGGAGCTTCCAGATGCACTCAATGTTTTCCTTCTTGAATTCGTTGATCAAGTGGTTGGCAATGCCGTCAAAGTTGTGCGTTGCCAGAGCCAGGATGGTGGGACCGGCACCAGACAGGCAAATTCCAAGAAGACCCGGATGCGACTTGGGGGTGACTGATTGCAGAATCTCGGTGAGGCCGGGAATGAGCGTCTTGCGGTACGGTTGGTGGATCTTGTCCTGCATGCCTTCGTAAATCATACCAGGGTCTGGTGGAGACTCGCCCAGTGCGGTCGTCAACAATGCTATTCTTTGCAGGTTGAAGACCATGTCGGCGCGAGTGTACTTTTCCGGGAGGACACCTCTGGCCTTTGCGGTGGAAACCTCAAACTGGGGTATTATGGCAATGCACTTGATTTCCTTTGCCCACTTGAACTTCTTGTAGTGGCCAATGTTGAGCGGGGGCTCCGGGGGCTGGAGGCCGGTGTCGATACCACCCGCAGGCTCGGGAAGAACCTCTGCCAGGGGAATTTCCTTGCGGGCCATGTCCTCTGGGTCCAGCTCGTTGAGGTAGGTTCCGACGAATCCACCGTAGAGTGCTGCCGCAACGTTGTCCGGATGTCTTTCAATCATCAAGCAGTAGTCGAGCATTCTGGCCTTGGAAAGACCAAGCTGTCCAACCTCGTTTCCTAGGTTGACACCGGCAACCTGGATATGTATAAGCGGGTGCGCAGCCTGTATGTCCAGAAGTAGAACTCACCACTGCCGCTCCGCTGCTTCCCAGACCTCTTCCCAAAGGGATTGGGTTTTTGATGTGGACGTGAACGTTGGGAAATGTCCGTTGGCCATGGCACTTGAGGACGTAGAGGGCGGTGCGGGTGATGAGGTTGCTGTCGGGATCCAGGCTGACTTCATCCTCACCTTGGCCCTCGTAGGTTATGCGACAGTTGAGAGGGCTGGTTTTGGCGGCGGCATCGTTGGGAGTGACGTGAAGTTCGAGGTAAATGGAGAGGGCGAGGCCAATGACATCGAAGCCGGGGCCGATGTTGGCGGAGGAGCAGGGAACTTTGATGACGCAGGCCATGGTGAGGAACGGATGGGATGTGCGAAGTCAGCGACCTCGGTGGGCTCGCTGGACGAGTCTTTTGGTGGTTCGAGAGACGGAGTCAACCCTCTGACCCAGCCCTACGCGAAAACTGAAGCACAAGGGTCACGCGTTTATCGTGTCCGCACTGGCGTGCGTTAGCGGCGGCAGACGCGGCAACTACTTGTTGGCTAGGCGTGCCCCGCAATCGGACCATCTCCACCAAAATTTCAAGAGCTCGCCGCGGGGCATTGAGCATTGAACGCCAGACAACACACCAGACACGAACAATGGCTGACATTCGAGTCCTCATCGTTGGCAACGGCGGCCGCGAGCATGCCATTGCCTGGAAGCTCTCCAAATCCCCCCGCATCGACCAAATTTTTGTTGTTCCCGGCAACGGTGGCACCGGCGCTCTCGACAAGACCAAAAACATCGAGACGGTCAGCGCCGACGACTTCCCCGGACTCGTCAAATTCGCCCTCGAGAATGACGTCAACCTTCTTGTTCCTGGTCCCGAGGCTCCTCTCGTCGCTGGCATCGTAGACCACTTCAAGGCCAATGCCCCCAAGATTCTCGCCTTTGGTCCTTCGGGCGCCGCCGCCCGCATGGAGGGCAGCAAGACCTTTTCCAAGGACTTTATGCACAGACACAACATTCCCACCGCCGCCTACCAAAACTTCACCTCGCACGACGCCGCCCGCGCCTACCTGGACAGCGTCGACCACCCGGTCGTCATCAAGGCTGATGGCCTGGCTGCTGGCAAGGGTGTCATTATTCCCACAACAAAAGAGGAGGGTCACCAGGCGCTCAAGGACATTATGCTGGACCGAGAATTCGGTGCTGCCGGAGACGAGGTTGTCATTGAGGAATTCCTCGAGGGCGACGAGCTTAGCATTCTGAGTTTCAGCGACGGAAACACCATTCAGAGCCTGCCGCCTGCGCAGGACCACAAGCGCATCTTTGACGGAGACCAGGGCCCCAACACTGGCGGCATGGGCACCTACTCTCCCACTCGCATTGCTCCCAAGGAGGTGGTGGACCAGATTCACAAGGAGATTCTGCAACCCACAATCGATGGCATGCGCGCTGAAGGTAAGGGATATTGAATAGGCCATTGATGGTATGCTGATGGATATCAGGCTACCCCATGGTTGGTTGCCTCTTCACTGGTCTCATGATGACCAAGAAGGGACCCAAGGTCCTCGAATACAACGTCCGTTTTGGTGACCCTGAAACCCAATCACTGCTGCCCCTCTTGGAGACCGACCTGGCTGAAATTATGCTGGCTGGTGCGGAGGGCAAGCTGGGAGGTTTCGAAGTCAAGGTTGCCGACAGGGCTGCCGCGACTGTCGTCGTAGCTGCCGGTGGTTACCCTGGATCGTACAAGAAGGGTATCGAGATGAAGCTGGACCCTCTTCCCGAGGACACTGTCCACTTTCATGCCGGCACTTCTCTCAAGGATGGTGTCTTCCGCACGGCCGGTGGACGTGTCATTGCTTCGACCGCGTGGGCGCCAACGCTGGAGGAGGCGGTCAAGAAGGCGTACAAGGGCGTCGAGGGAATTCACTTTGAAGGCATGCAATTCCGGAAGGACATTGCTGGTCGTGCTCTCAGGTAACTACGGTGAGTGATATCCAGGAGACAAGAGAAAATAGTCGGCCATGAGGCGGCGCGGTACTATCGTGGGTAGAGACGTAGACACCCTGCTGGAAAGGGCTCGAGTGGTGAATCCCTCGATTGATGAGAAATCAAAAGGTAAAATGTCGATACGGAACAAGAAGACTTGAGGTGGCGTAGCTGGTAAATATAAACCAACTTGGCTGCTCAGAAGCATCCGTCTTTGGAAGTGAATTCACCAGTCTTTGCATTAAAAAATCCAACAAATTGATAATTTGGTTGACTGGTTTCAAGTGATTGAAGACTCCCTGTCACTTCATCAGTTGCCGACCCTGGTCAACGCTAGCTTCGTCGCCGTTCCCGTCAGGCGTCACACCGCCCGCCAAGACGTCCGCTCACCAACCAGCCGTGGCCTACCCTCATCAACGTCGTCATTCCATCTCGACATCGGCCATTCTCCAAAACGGGTCTCGAAATACCACCGCTCGCTCACATCCTCACGCGCTGTGAGCTTCCACCGCTTGTCATCGCCGGACGTCAGACACTCCCGCCTCGATCGCAGCTGCCGCAGTAGCTCTCCGACCGCACTCAGCCGCCATAATGAAGCCCGTTGTTTCTGCTCTGAATGCATGGACATGGTATGCGCCTACTTGCTCCCCATGGTGTTTCCAAATTCCAGTCAACGGCGCATGTGCTAGATGGAGCGTGTTGGGGGATTTTGGGAACAGCCGCTTCAGCTCTTGGACCCTACAACTCCGCTAACGCCACGCTGTAGCATCGTCGTGTCCGTCTTTGCAATCGTAATCCTGTCCGTCATCGGCTCGCTCTTCAAGGTACGCCTTCCAAATAACATCGAATCATTCCTCGCCGCTCTGGTTCCCGCCCCCTCCGTCGCGCGTTTCACGGACCACCGCTCCTCCGCCTCCGCATCGCGTCGATCGACTACAACTCTCCGGATATTTCGAAGGTGGAGACTGACATGAGGGTACTTGCAGACAAACAACCATGTCATGATGGGCTCGACCGAAGACCCGGAGAACGGCCCAGCCGTGGCAGCCGCAGTATTCGGTGCCGTAGCAGTTTACGGTGTATGTCTTTCGCTCCCCACCAGCGTCACAGAATCTGACAATGTCCCATAGGTGTTCCTCGTCTTCTGCGCCGGCCAAGCGTACCTGCACGTTCGCGAGAGCCGCCGCGGCGCCATTGCGCTGTCCTAGGCGCCCTGGCCTCTCCATTATCTTGTTTGACAATACATTACATGCATGCTTGCTTTTAGATACGAACCTCATGCACAGCTTTTGCTGGTCTAGAGAACAGGTGTCTGGGGATGACGCAGCCGGTGGCTGTGGATGGGGAGCAAAACGCGGTGGCATGGTGCTTTACGGACACGAAGCCGCAACAGTCGAACGAAACAACCAAACCTTGTCCAGCGCGGGCCGTGATGGACGAGCACCGTTCGCCAGGATCTGTCTGTGACGAGTGCCTGCGCCTCACGACCGCGATCTCTCCATCCATCTTGCCGCGGTGGTGGTGGATTCGGGGTTTGGAAATGATGCCCCACACAAAACGTCTTTTTCTGTTCTGACGACCCCTCTGCCCTCTGCTTTGGTTTCCTTTTCCTTGTACCTCTTTGCCTGCCCTTGCCGAGGGAGGCTGGCGGGTGGTCTGATTTCTGCTTCTTTTGTACAGGTACTTTTTGTACGTAGGCGTTGAAGGTGGGTCGGTGGGTATGTAGGTAGGTAGGAAGGTGGTCTAATTAGACTGAATTCGTCCACTGCTCGTCGTCGATGGTCCGTTGTCATTGGGGGTTGTGAATTTCGCTGTGGGAGTGTGTGGTGACAGGACATGCTGTCTCCCTCTGCCTTTGCCGCATGTCAAGTCTGGCCCAACGGCCTTCGACGTCAGTCTCGAGGGCTGCAAGCGGTTGCATGTAAAACGCCTTCACTGTTTGTCTGCTTCTTTCCAGCCGAGGACGATGTCGTTTGCGAGCCAGTCAATGATCCGCCGAAATGTGGTGGTTTGGGTCATTCCTCGCATGAAGTAGCGAAACATGCTGAAGGACTGCCATCTGATGTAGGTCCATCAAAATACAAAACTCAAGGCGCCTTCGACTCCCGCATCTATCCATCGTCCCTTCCTGCTGTGCCCCGCTCCTTCCAGTGCAGCGCTTGCTCCTGCCTCGCTTTCCTGCGTCGGCAGCGCCCTTTTCCGCCCCCTGAATCCGCAAAACCTCATGCTTTCAACGCCGCAACACCCCAAAAAGCATCCTGAACAAATGACATAGTTATATTCTGTCAAAAAGGCAAAAAGAAATGCGTCGGCCGGGAATCGAACCCGGGGCTGATCGAGACATGAATTGCCCGCCCAGTAAATACTCGTAAGCGCGTCTTCGAATGGCAACGATCAATTTTACCACTAAACCACCAACGCTTGTTTTGTGACTTGATATGAAAGTAGGGTCGCTTTTGCAAAATATATACTACAATTTGCAGGACCAAAGTCAGAAACTCCTCATTGCCCTGGAGATTCTGGACAAATGACCATCATCACAGAAGAATTCATCGCTAAAGATGCCGGACCGGATGTAAAAAGTATCTTCAAAGTGGTGGGTGGGGCAAAATTTCCGCCGTCAACTCTTCCTTAGCCGAACGAAGCCATGCTTTCGCGGCCCTACCTTCTCCGGCCTGCGTCTCTGTACAATGCCAAAAAAGGGGATGAGTCACATTGGGAAGCCGAAAGAAGCTAAGAAATGTCTTTTTGCTCCCGCCAAGTGGGTTCGAAGCGCGTCTTGGTGCGACCCGAAAGGGACACGCATTTTTTGCACTCAACACCACCACGGAAATCTATCACCGACCTCGATCCCAATTTCTAATTCTCACCGAATGACACTACGATCACCCCGCTCTTCTTATTGCCTTGTTTCCTTCGTGGCTATTGCAAAGCCTGAACATCCGTTCGTCTCTTTTGCTGCGAAACTCCCCACCCTGGTGTCACAGAAAAATCTAGAAAGCTTCCATGCAAGCTCTTTGTTGGCTCCCTCCATTGATTGATGATGCTGAAGGTTCAAGGCAAGAAGATGTAGTAGCTTGAAGCAAGAGTCCCCACACAGGTCTCTCCAAAAGTGTCATAGTCTTGATTTAGAAGCAGGCAGTGCCAGTCCTGCATATTTTTTCGGTTGGAGGAATGACCAGAGCTTTTTGAAGAATTGAGGAGGATGTGGGCGACGCGGGGTTGATACTACTCCCACGATACCCAGGCGCAGATGATCAAGTTGCAACCTATGACATGCGAGGGGACCGTTATCGGAAGACCAACAGCAGGTGATGGATTGCCAACGCGGTTGCCCGCAGTGTCCTGCGCCTGATAGACAGGTCACTCACATGGCACCGCCCTTCTCTTACTACTCATACTTGAAAACTCTGGAGCCTGCATCTCCCTATCGATCTTTTCAAGGACCAACAACGCCTATTGGGATGAAAGACAAGAGCACAATTTTACTTTTTGCGGGGGCTCCGCATGTTTGAGACGCTGACCCTCAGAGTACTTTGGTCGCCGGCTTCTTCTTTCCTCTCAGAGGTTGAGCACGGGGAGATCTTCGTCGTTTCAACATAATGCATCGTGCCATGATCGAGAAAAGCTGTCAATTTTTCAGCATCATCAATGCAAAATGCAGACCTAGCGAACCCCTCACACTTGACACAACAGAAGCATTGTTGCCGTCAAGTCCCGTTCCTGCGCAGGAGGTCGGAAGTGGATGGCCTTTTCTCTCAGCCGCACGACTCCCAAGACAGTGATGCGATACTGTCAAATTCTTGGGGCAGCCTGAGTGATGCAGCTCGCTTGTTGAACAAGAGAAGCAGCGGGAATGCCGCGATTTTATACTCACTGTCCTCGACCCAGGCGTGGCACCCGCCTTGGCCACGAGGTCAAGGGGGCTTGCATCACCTCATTCAAACGCCCTGCCAGCAAGCAATCGCCAGACTCAAGCCAACCAGGTGCTGAATGCGACTGCAACTGCACAGACAGAGCCAGAGCACAGGACCCACGTGCCCAGCGTACAGCAAGAACATCGTTTGCTCACTGCATTGGTTCAAAGGTGATGTTTGAACGCTTGATTTGATTATGCACAGGATGGGGAAAAATCAATATACCCAACGCTCCCAATTTTCCAACCACCAACGCGCAACCAGAAACGACGATACCTCCACCCAACCGACCGGCATCAAAACGCGCACTCCGAGATGTTTTGCCAAGCTGGAAGAGGATTGAGATGGCGAGTGACTTTTCAAAGTTTGTCACTTTCCAGGACTCAAGCTACACCGCTTTCGCCTCATGAGATGCTTAGTTCTTCTTCCCCTTCATCTTCTCCTCAACCCACTCCCTCATCTCTGCAACGCCAGGCGGACCTTCGCCAGCTGCTTTCCTCCGCTGCACCTCAGCCTTGACCTCATCAATTGCATCTTGGACCTCCTTCTCGGGGTCATCAGGCAGACCAAGATACGTCTCCTGCCTTGTAATACCACCTAAGCTCTCGGTGCTGGTGTTACGACTGAGACCAGGCCTGACGCCCAGCGCCTCTCCGAGAATCTTCTCCTCGAGCAGGTCGTCCGCCGTAAACGAAGCCGGCATAGTCTTGCGCTGCTTGAGCTTCTCAGGCGAGAGGGCGGCAGCGGTGCCGGATGCGGTGGCGCGTTCGGGTGCCTTGGCGCCGACTCCAGGACCGGCAGATTGACCCTTTGCAGCGCGTTGTTTGAGCTTCTTTTGCAGAATCGTCTTGCCTGGGCTGTTGAGGAAACCAAAGCTGACGGCCACGCCGACAATAGTGTAAAACCAAACGCGCTGCCACACAAGGAAGGAGTCGGAGAAGCTGAGGAGGATAAAGGGCATGACGGTAAAGGAAAAGGCGAGTTGCGTGACGAGCCAGGTGAAAATGTCGTAGTAGATCTTGTTTGGCAGCGGGCGTTGACCGTCGGGTGAGAGGAAAAAGGGGCGTAGGAGACGACGTCCATCTGCGTCATGTCAGCATGTGGCCACTCAATATTGCAGTGAGACTTGCGCTTTGCGATTGTCTGCAGGAAGCTTGCCAGAACAAAGGCCATATAGTAGCCTGGGTAAAAGCCGTGCCAAAAGGCAGAAGTAACAAATGTCGCCAGAGTTGCACGGAAGCCAGGCTTCTGCCCCTTTGGAGTGACGCGCAGGTACATGTAGTTCTTAAGCCACAGGTTAGTATTGACGTTCCAGTTACCCAAATAGGCGTGTGTGTTCTGGGCGAGCTCTATTCCGAGAGGCTTCACATTCTGAAGCCTGTTCCAGTTCACGCGGCCGGTCTTGGGGTCCACTCCCTTGTAGCCAATGCCACTGAGAATGCAAGCGCCCTCGGTCAACAGCCAAACACCATAGTACTTCATGCGAGTCGTGACACCTAGCATGTGGAGCTGCAAAATGCGCCTGATAATGCCGTGCTTCATGTAGTCGTCGCTGAGCAGCATCTCAGGGTAATACCAAGCAGAGAACTTGAGAAAGGCAAAGATCCAGACAAGGCCATAGATGGCCTTCCATGTGGCCGGCGTTCCACTGCGGGGAATCTTGCGCTTCTTGCGGGTTGGTGGCGCATGCGTCGGGTCAACTCCAGGCGGCAGTTTGAACATGCTCGTAGTCAACCACTGACGGTAGTCCACGTAGTCGAACGCAGGGCCTGCAAAGAGCGATGGAAAGAAGAGCACATATCCGGCATAGTCCATCAGAGACGGGAACTCGCGAATTGCGCGCTCTTTTTGGTAGTCGGAGAGCTCGCTCTCGGGTAGGCGTCCATCGTGCACGTTCCAGCAAAAAGCAGTGAGCTTCATGACAAGCACCATTTGTGCGCCAGTAATGTCGACCGTCTGGGGAGCGTTCCGGAATTGTCTGTCAAGGTGGTTGACAGACATGTGGCCCATGAGAAAGACGAAGCCGATCCAGGGCATGAACGGACCGTCGATATATCTGGCGATGGCATATGCTCCAGCAGAGCTAATGAACAGCGTCCGCATGCCTGTCCAGAGGTCGAAAAGACCAACCAGGTAAAAGAGCGCGACCCTTGTTCCTTTAGCGAACGTTTCCCACATGTCTAAACCCAAAAGCGACGCACGTTATTATAAAGAGGTTCTTCTGCCATGGCTTCGAATCTGGTATGCGCTTGAGGACGCCAGCGAGCGGATAGGAGAGCAGGAAGGATGCGATGAGCTTGACTGCGAGGGTCAGTATACAGACTTGCGTTTCCAAGGGGTAGGCGGGCGCACGCTCGTCGGTAGAAGCTCCCAGTACGTTTGCAACGTACTCGAAAGCTAGTGAGACCAGTTAGTAGCTTTTCCGGATACGAGCAAAGCTCAAGGAGCTGTGCGTACGGAGGTTGATGTAGGGCAGCATGATGGGCGTGGTGCGGCTGCTCGTAGGACAGTTTCGAGATTCACCGCATCTTGGAGGGTTCAAGAGAAGAGGAGGGAGAAAGAAGAGGGCGTGGTAGGTTTACTTTGTGTCCCACCACGGCCAGTGACGTCCTCGCACCAGAGCACGCACGGACATGGGCGGTGAATATCCTGACCGCGTTTCTTCGGAGAATAACCGGTGTCGGCGGCCATGTTTATTCCCCGCTAACAACGACTCGCTTTCAACTTCCTGTCCACGCGCTCTCAACGCCATCAATCCTACCGCGGTTCACCTCTCCTCCTATCCTCCCAGCGCCAGCCCTCGCTCCGGCCCCGCGCCTCCGCCGTCGCCATGTCTTCGGTATACAATCTGGAGCCGCAGCCCACGGCCAAGGTCATTCTGCACACCACGGCCGGAGACATTGCCCTCGAGCTCTTCGCCAAGCAGACGCCCGTCACGTCGCGCAACTTTCTCCAGCTCTGTCTCGACGGCTACTATGACAACACCATATTCCACCGCCTGGTGCCGGGCTTCATCATCCAAGGTGGTGATCCGACTGGCACGGGCTCCGGCGGCGAAAGCAGCTACGATGGCGAGCCTTTTGCAGACGAGTTTCACTCCCGGTTAAAGTTCAACAGAAGGGGTCTCCTAGGCATGGCAAACACGGGCCAAAAGGACGACAATGGTAGCCAGTTCTTTTTGACCCTGGGGGCCACTCCGGATCTCACGAACAAGAATACAATGTTTGGGCGCGTCGAGGGCGACACAATTTACAACTTGATGAAGATGGGGGAGGCAGATTTGACCGAAGAAGAGGGCAGTGAGAGGCCGCTGTATCCAACAAAGATTACAAGCACCGAGATTGTGGTGAACTTTTTCGATGACATGGTCAAGCGGATGCAGATTGCGCAACCAGTGGCGCAGGAGAAAAAGGGCCCAAAGAAGCCCAAGAGAAAAGCGGCGAAGCAATTGCTCAGCTTCGGTGGGGACGAGGGTGATGATGCCGGCTTTGCACCCGTGGTCAA